AAAAAGTTGTTAAACATCTGAGTGGCGCACAATAACAGCATTGTAAGCRGGGGACAACTGTTGTAACTATTATAATTAGTCAGTATTTGTAAAACTGCAACACAAATGAACAGCTCATTTTTGAGAAAATATTTTCATTTCTTCTTTAGCTGTAAAAGTATATGTGTTAAGTATTWACCAATACTATGCATTATTACAAAGCCTAAGCTAATTGGCAATGCACCAAGGCTTCATGCTTCATGAATAAGGTGTTCAATTACCATTTGCACTTATAATCTTTRGAAAGCAGCTTTGGCTCATGCCTACTTAGAAACTTGAGAAAAATGGTGCATTTTTACTCTAACTTCTCTGCACCCTGTAAACACAGTAAAAGGAAGCATGACAGATGCCAGCAATGAGCTTTTACAGAAAGAGAAAACACATGTCAGTGTTTTCGATGTGTGCTGTTGTGATCATTACAGGAATAAACTTCAGAATTTAGATGAGATTTTTGCTGCAGTTTTATATTTAAACCATATTTTCATAGCAGAAAAGCAGGAAGAAAACAGACAAAAAGTAGACATCAGCAATCACAAAATAATTCTCGCACGCAAAASCTCACCTAGACTGGTCGGCTTGATGAGCTCATCCAGCATGTCGTAGAAGGGCAGCCTCTGCAGCTTGACGTCCGGGTGGACTGGATGCAGYGTGGCCGAGGTGGGCAGGTGGTGTGTCAGCCCGCTCAGCTCATGTTTCCCCGGGCCAAGCAGCGAGAGGGGCAGTAAGGCGGCCGGCGACGGGGCGCCGCCGTGTCCAGCGTGTCCCTCATACGCCAGCTGTGTCAGGCCAGCAGGCAGCGCGGCACCTCCTCCCCCGACCACCCCGACCGAGGCCGGGTGGTGCGGCCCGGGCAGAGCCAGTTCTGAGTGGGAGACCATTTTGGCAGGGAACCGTCTTCGGTAGAGCTCTTTGATCTTCATGTGCACGGCGGGGCTGCAGCCAACTTTCAAGAGATGCAGGGCCTTGGTCAGCAGCTCATGCTTGCGTCCGTGCTTGTTGCGCCCAGCGTAGCCCAGCAGCACCTGCAGCTCCGACACCCGCAGGCTCATCACCATTTGCTAGAAGAGAGATGAAGAGAATGAACTCAAGAGTTGAAMTGGTAACAACACTAATAACCATAAACATTTTATTATAAATGATGAAAGCCACTGTGAGATCATTGAATGTAAGTTACTATTTTAAAACCTTGAGGTTTTTTGTTCAGATGCTGCTGTCTTTGACTTTTGAAGTCAAAGCTAAGGAAAGCTTRTCTAATAGGTGAGGGATAAAACCTTTTGTCTATAACTTAAAGCAGCCACGTCACAAGTACCTACATTTAGGAATATAATTATTTTTATGAAAATGTTTTTTTAGACACAGGAAAGAAAGAAGGAAAGTTGCTGTAAAAGGCCCGTCTTGTATCTGCTTTGTTCCGTTCATCAATAAAGTTTGGCTTTTTAACTCGGGGTCAAAAAGGACTGATGAATATTTGGAGCCAGAGTTGACTTGCCTTTTAAGAAACTACAGGTTTCAGACACGTCTGCACTCATTTTGATCTTGAGGTTAGTATCTCACTGGCTGAAACTACTGGGAGACTACTTGGTGACTCATAACTGAGTAAAATTTGTGAGAAAAGGGAATTATCTTGTGCAGTCTCACTGAACTCACTGAAGTGTTTGTAATTAAATGAAGGAACTGCATGGTCTTGTGAACATCCACTTCACAATCAGTCTATTTTTCTGTGCACAGCTTGCAAACTGCATTTCTGTCCATGCACTAAGGATGGGCGATATGTTATTGTGTGCAATATACCGTCAAAGACATTCACCATGGTAATTATTTGTCATTTCGCGATAAAAACGATAAATTCCCACCGCGTGCCGCCAGGCTTTACATGCCTCCCCACCAGGTTAAGCTTAGTTTGTTTACTTAGAGTGGACGTCGATGCGCAGAGCATGTGTTAAATTAGTGAAGCTAAAAAGCTATCGTAATGACTCTCAACCTGCAGTCATAGTCATCTAAAAACTCTTTAGAGTTCAACAATATGTTAGAAAAACAACAGGACGGCYAGCTGTAACTTGCTGGACCCACAAAAAAACACAGCTCCTCCGTCTCCTCTGTGCAAGCTGCATGGCTCGCTCACTCACACAAAGTAGCCCCTCCCTCCCCTGAACATTAACCCTTTAGGGAACAGATAATATAGCTTGACCTCACAGAGCAGCAAAACTCATTATTTTCAGTGATTAGTAAAACGTATTTTCTTATAGTTTTATTTTTTTTATTATATTACTGATAGTTTACAAGGGTTAGAGTTCTACTGAGGTTTTACAAAAAATAATGATTACTACAAAAAGGATGTGATTTGAAGATTTATCATATAAATCTTAGTCCATTATTACTGAAAATTTTGGCTGTCAATAAATAAATAAATGTCAATTTTGTTCTCATATTTCAGTCTTGTTTGACRGGTGTCAGTTTTGCAACACAGGTGTACTACTTGAACTTTTATAACTATTAATTTTTTAGTCCATATCGCCCATCCCTACCATGCACATTATTTTGTTGTCCACCTCTGCCCACATCCTACCTGCCTCAGCTTGTTTTGTATCCAGCTTGATAGCTGTCCCCACATATTTTAATTAATCAGCCCGAGTACACTTTTGAAACAATGATAGGCAAAATTGAAGCCGGTATTTCAACAACTATTATTCATCATCAGCACAGTTTTTAGACCTTGACATTTGCCTTGGATCTTTTCTGTCAGAGAAGTTCAGACTCTAGTGTACAGTATATAGCCCTCAAGATGGGTCAGAGACGCCCATGTGGACACTATTTCCAGAAAAAGGTTGTGGTATAATATTTTTTAAACTCCGCGACAGGGCTGTGTGCCTCTGTCAGACACACCGGGAAGTTGAGAACCAACACTAATGTTACAAGACATTCGGGATACACCCTTATGAATAATGTTATTGAGTTGGTCACAGCCCAGTGAGAAAATCTTTAGGTGTGGATGCTGGCATGTTTTCTTGATAGCCACTAAAGGCAGCCTTGAGCATTTCTTTGTACTTTATTGTAATGAAGAGCTCAAGTTAATTTGAACCAGTCTTGATTTGCATCTACAACTATGGCTGTTCTATCTGTGGGTTAAAGAGGCAAATGGAAACTAGTAAAAAAAAAAAGCTGTGTGGCTGCAACACCTCTGGTGCACTGCAGCAAACACTGTAGAAACCCAGGATAGTGAAACAAGTAATGAGACATGTTTACTCTACAGGACAGTTGGTAGCTGTTCATTGTGAATCTGGTATTGCAGCATAATGTTGTCTGCTGAGCCATGGGGATTTAAAGAAAGAAAAAAAATCCAGAGAACAATAAGAAAAGCTCAGTTTGAACAAAATGTCAGCAACAAACAGGCAGGGGCCAAACACATCCAACTGATTCCTAATGAAACACAAGTAAGTTTTTGTTCTCACCTACAATAGAGAAGTAGGGGAATGACTTTTTGTACAGATTCAGCGCTACTCAGTCCTGCTCACGTGAGCTCTATTTAAGCAAGACCCCTCAAAAACAGGAACAAACACACCAAAACAGCAAACACTATCAATAAAAGAACCACAAGACTGAAATCCATGACCCTTTCATTTTGCTTTAGTTGCCATTTATTTGGCTCCATCAGTACCACATAAGTAACAAATTGAAAAGATGAAGTGGGTTTTAGCTTTGTTGTTCTCTAAACAACACCAAGAGACCTGTTATAGGTGGGTTTCACAAATGTTGACAAAACCGTAACTGAGCTCATCTAAAAGCGTTTCATTGAATTGTATGGAACTAAATGAACTATTGAAAAAGAAAAATCTGCTTTCTAACCTGTTCACAAAAACAGTGCATGTCAAAATGTAATAAAAAAAAAACACACTGAGTATTGAAGGCATTTTTATTTTCAGTTTTGGAATGATGGTTTTAAAAAAGAAATGTCAAAAAAAAACTGCCAACAAAAGGCTTTCTCTAGCTCAATATGAGGTTGAGGAAGCAGTGAGAMAAAGTAACTTCAGCAAGAGCACAAAAACAAAGCAAACAGAAAAAGGAACAAAAGTAAGCACCATCATCAATAAAGCACCTGAAATCATCCGTAAGATGAAGAAATTCAGCTAAAACGTCCACATAGTTTTAGAAATTTGTCTTTTTCTTTTCAGGTAAAGCTAAAAAAATGTACTTGCATTAAAATAAATTATGTTCTGTTTTGCTTTAAACCTTCTGAAAATCTAATACAATAAGGCGGTAAGAGTAACCCTGAAATATGTAGCTGTAAAATTACAGCTGTGACAAACTTTAAAAAAAATGCAACACAATATCTAAAACCGAACACTGCTTTATCTCTGTGCACCATGCACACACTGGTGCCCACCGCCCCACCCACATAGCAAAATCTGTCTGGCCCAGTTCTGGCCCACACAAGGTACTAATACTCAGTGCAGACACTGCAAAGAATGATGGCCCTTTGGTGGCCCAGAGGTGGCCCATGCATGGCCCAGCACCGCAAACCAAAATGCAACTGGGCCAGTTGTGGCATGCCATTTTAAAAACAGTGTCATCACTCCCAGTCCTGGCCCACTTCTCTTTGGCAAACCTCTTGACATGCCAGAAGGCCAGCTTGAGACCAAAACTGGCCCACACCTGTACACACACACACACACACGCACGCACGCACGCACACACACACACACGCACACACACATACACAAATTTAATAATTTAATTTACAGAATATTACAGATGTGGTCAGCAGGGACCTTGGAGACAAGGCTAGACTTTGAAGTTAGCACTCGTTTATTTTTGTTTGTGGCATGTGAGGCACATCCTTGAGCTTTGCATCCCATTGACATTTAAAATGTCATATATGACTGCTGCAGGCTACTTTTAGTGAGGTAACCACAGCAGCGACGTTTTACACAGGAGAGAGAGAGAGAGAGAAAAAAATGTAACAACTAAAACACATAAAAACACTTTCCCACGGCTGAAAAAGACTCGCTCTAATTAAACACCTCTATTTACATGCAGCCTAGTTTCTGTCTTTTAATGACTAACAACTTTTTACTGTGGCTCATTAGCAGAAATAAACACAAACAGTAACATTTTTCTCTTTACTTGTCAGGGAAGATTAATTGTGCTGGAGTCAGCTTCCTCCACATCAGAATTTGTAACTACTTCATCTCTTCTTCAAGTTAAGCATACATCAAGAAAGTAAAACCAATGAATTCACTTTTAGCCTTTGTTGACTTCTCTTATTTTAATAATTTCTAAATTATAGASACGTTCCTGTTGTTTGTAACACTTAAAAAGGGCACAACTGAAGTGACTATCATCTGAGTATAAATGTCATTTCAGGTTTGTCTTCTGTGTCCCAGGTGTGAAACGAGCCTCTCACTCTGGTTCAACCACAGAACCTTACAGTAATATTAAAACCATCGCACAACAACAACTGTGAATTTGAACAGGAACTGAAACCCAAACTGTGCATAAGTTTACTGCTCTTGTTTCAGTGCCTGCAAGTGCAGAAAAAAACRTAACTTGACATTTTACAGGCAGCTTTCCAGAACGTTGTCTTTATTAAAGGCATAATRTAGGTTTACAATAATSTGGGAATTTTCAAAGTTGAAAACTTCCCATGAGAATTGAATAACTTTATAGGAATAAACARGGATAAACCTGGACTTTTCAATACTGAAGGATGGCCCTTTACAGTGRTTTTAAATATAGTTGGGGAAATACACTGATCGGCTAAAGATGAGTCGATTGACTCTGTTCGAGAGTGATGGAAGCATCGGGGTAACAAGCCTGTGGGGCAGCTGGTCTGGTCTAGGTTCAACAACATTATGAGGCCAGAGCTGACTGCCTGAATATACTGAATGACCAGGTTATTCCATCAATGGAGTTTCTCTTCCCTGATGGCACAGGCAYGTTCCAAGATGACAAGGTGATCGGATTCAAATAGTGAAAGAGTGGTTCATGGAGCATGAGAYATTATTTTCACATATGGATAGGCCACCACTGAGTCCAGACCTGAACTCCATTGAGAATCCTT